ATTGAGCAGCAATTTTCGACCTTATGCGATCATTCTCAATCAGAAAAGCCTAAATACTTGCTCTAATCATGCAATGTAAACTTTTATGGTATCTATTGGTTTTCGAAGTATCGTTAAATTTTCTGTACGATAATTAGCGTCATCTACTAAATTATTTGAATATCTACAAGAATAAATTTTGATATTAAAATTTAGTTGATATATTTCTGAAAATGTTATAAAATAAATAAAATCAAGTTTTTAAATAAGATATTAAGAAGAAGATTTCTAAAATTTTCCTACTGGTTCTTATTATTACTGATTGATTTTTTTTGTCATTGATTTTGTGTTGTTGTCTCCTTAGATATGTGAAAACATTCGAAATTTAAATAATTTATCTTAAAAAGTAAGTTTTCTTAAAGAATTCTTTCATTAACATGTAAAATGTTTGTAATTTAAATGACAGATGTTATCATATATTACTGATTTATTATTATTCTCATGTTTGTTATTGATTGTCAATGGAGCAGTAAAGAAATATGTCGAGAAAGAAAATGTAAATATAATCAATAAAAGAAAAAGAAAATTTTTGATTATATTTCTAATTAATTAAAGGTAACAGTTTATGTAAACAAAGTTGGACCTTATGGAAATCCTCAGGAAACTTATCATTATTATTCTCTTCCTGTTTGTCGTCCATCAATTGTAATTAATCTAAGAAAAAAAGATATTTTTAGAAATAAAATCTTTCTATAAAATAGATTGTTTCAAAGGATCTGACACTTGGTGAAGTTCTTTCAGGTGATCGAATGGCTCGTTCTCTATATGATATTCAATTTAATGGTTTTTATTTAAAATAATTTAAAAGCAATAAATAAATAAATAATTTTATTTTTAGAGGATATTAGTAATAAAGAATTATGTTCATTAGTTTTAACATCTGATGGATTAAATAAATTAAGATTATCTATTGAAGAATATTATTATTTTGAATTTGTTATTGATGATATTCCAATTCGTGGTTTTGTTGGATTAATTGAAGAAACAAATTTATTTCCACATAAACATCATATTTATATATATACACATTATCATTTTGATTTTTTTATTAATGATAAACAAGTAAAAATAAATATTTAAAACAAAAAAAAAATCAAGATAAATTAATATATTTTTATCTATTTAGATAATTTATGTTAATATAAGTACAAAAGAACATCCACCCGTATCTTTAGATGATGAAACAATAGTTTCTATTAAACTTCAATTTACTTATTCAGCTAAATGGCATAAAACTGAGTAATATATTTTTATTATTAATATTTAATATTTAATATTTACATTTTTATTTTTATTTTTAAATTAAAGAACATTGTTTAAAGATCGAGCAAAATTTATAGCCAATACTGCTTTTTTTCCTAAAACACTCGAAGTATATTTTACTTTTTATTTTTTCATTTTTTTTTAAAATAAAATATTTTTTTTAGATTCATTGGTTATCAGTTATTAATTCTTTGGTTCTCGTTTTGCTCCTCATCGTTTTTGTTGTTATTATACTTGTAAGTTTTTATATAAATTATTGTTTTCAAGAATTCTATTCAAACAAACGATTTTTAACTTTTTTCATAAAAACAATGAACTTTACTATTTACTTATTTATAAATGAACATATCTTGCATTCAGATATAGAATAAACATTCATTTGTTAGTTTTGATTTTATTTTTAAAATTCATTTACTTTTAATTATAGTCTTCAACACTTTTATTTTAAAAAAATAATATGATTTTTATAAGTCAACTACAACCAATGTTTATAATCAACGAAAATTTCGACGAAAGTCTATCAATTGATTATATCTTATGTCAACCCATATAATATTACCAGAAATATTTTTAGTTCACTTATAGTAAAACGATCTCTTTATCAGTATTTATCAAAATAACAAACAAAAAAACTTATGAAAATCTTAAGTATAAATATGACTGAAAAGTTCTTGTAGAATAACTTTAAAATAATGATATAGTTTTTTCTAAAAGAGATATCCATTGTTATTTAACAAACATACATAATAAAATATGTTCACAATATCAACAAAATTCATTTGTCTGTCTTTCGTTTTTATTATCGAAATATTTATTTTCTATTAAATCTTCATCACAGATCGAACTGAAATCTAAACATCAAGAAAAATATGACACTAATACGTCTTATGAGTATATTAAAATGATTTCAATTATTATAATCGATTGTTTTTAAATATGACTAAGATGATTTTTAAAATTAATTTAAATTTAAATAATAATTGTAGAATTTCATTACAAAAAAAACTTGTCATTGATGGATAAATCTGTAAAATTGACAAACTCTTTCTATTATATATTTATAGAGTTTTGTCAGATTAATTTAAATAATTTATTTTAAAA